GGAGGAAGGATTCAGGTCCCTGGATGCATCCTCCTCACGCGCATCTTGGGCATTTTGCCTTGGAGAAGGGCTATCGGGTGGAAAATGCAAACCGCAGGCCAGTCCCCAAACGGTGTGGGTGGACATCGCCCTCTCCAGCGCGGACTGGAGGTCGATCCTCGGGGCGCACGCGCAAGAGCGCAGAGACCGGCATGACTCAGTTTACAGCTTTGTAAAGACGTGGAACTGCTAACGTGCTAATGTGGCTTAAAACCCTTTGGGGACGTTTTCTATCCTAGAACGGCAATTTGCGACACCCAACTTGAGTGCCAGAGATCCCGGGGCTGCCTGGTGCGCACAGCCGCACACGGCCTCCAGCCCCGGGGGCGCTAGACAGTCGGAAGTCGACGCTTGTGGTTTGAGGAACGCGCTTAGGCGGCGTTTGATTCTGCTGCTGAGAAGTCGTGCGGGAGCTCAAGCCTGGAGAGAAAGTGTAACCTTCCTTCCCTGGGCAGAGATGGGGCAGCCGGTCCCTCGTGGACCCTCGGTGCCTTTGCAGATCCAGGAATAGCGCGGGAGGGCCCACGGTTACTGCACGGACCGAGTGGGGGGAGGCGTGAGGGAGTGGGGTGGTGGGGTGGTGGGGGGCCGCGTTAGCCTCTTTTCCAAGCGCCCCTGGAACTAGGGTGGGACTGGGACTTTTCTGGTCGTTCCCCACAACACCACTCAGGCCTGGGCAGCGTTAGGAGTTTCTTCTGCCTGTATGTTCCATTCCCCTTCTTCCCGCACGTGCTCAGCTTGCATGTTTACCTGTGCGTTCTCCCCAGGTCTATGGCCACGGCAAGATTTCGTATCCAATAGCATTTACCTGCTGCTACCTTTTACCCTAGTCTTCCTCTGCGTGCCTTTTTCTTCCTCTTGCTCCAGCCGGAATCCCATCCCAGTAAAACTGGGGGACAGAGTTTGGGGTCTCTGGACGACTGGGCTAATGATGTCTAGGGGAGCGTTTTTGCCTTAACGGACAAAAAACGGTGATACATTAACAAACTAATATTGCTTTTAAGATCCAAACAGCATAATTTACTTGTTTTATGTAACGAGATCAAATAAAACAAGGCAGTCAACCGGGTAAACCTTGTGGAGATTTAAAGTAGCCTCGGCTGATTTTTTTCCTTTGAATTTTTGTTCCCATTAACTTGTACTGCAGAAAATCTCTAGCTCAATTGACTCCACCTTTCCAGAGACCACATGGCTGAACTGCAAGGCTTTGTCTTCCCACAGCTTAGCTCAAAAAGCTCACCCTCATGGAGATGCCACTCATAGCCACCCTGTAGGGCAGGGTGGAGCTGACCTGTGGGCTCCTGCCAACTGGAACTCCTTACCGGAGGAGAAAGCCCCTTCTTTCTCCCAGGAGATTAGTTGGCAGTTGGTAAATTAACTTATTCCATCCCTCTGGACAGGGCTTTAGGGAGCTGCGACCTAGACTGTTTACTGAGGTCATGCAATGGGATGACCTGCAATTTGTAAACCATCAAACTCCATTATAGAGAGCTACTGCCAAAGTGTGAGTGTGTGTGGGTGGGGGGGGGGGCACTTCAGTACATTGTCAATAAAGTGAAACTTCTATGTATATTGCTGGGGGGGGCGCGTTCTGTAAACTTAAGAAAAGCTCTTGTATGTCAGGGATTCTTCTTCTTTTTATTCTTCTTATCAAACATAAACCCGTTTAGCTTATTACAAGGTTGTACCTCACAACATTCCTTTAGAATTCGAAAAACAAAACGACTCATTGCAATGACAATGCTAGTTCAATGGTAAGGGTTCAACCCTTTATATATCAGACTTTCGTCCTTAAGGGGAGATCTACAGAGGAAGGTCCAACTACCCCTCACATTTAGCAAAGAGGTCCCTTGTTAGATAGACTCCAAAATTTGGGTCAGCCAAAGGCTCTGAATTCCATCTTTGCCTTCCCTCAGTGAGGGAGCGTAAATGTCGGGTTGGACTATATGTGCATTTTTATTCTTGGCTCCACATGTCAAGGGCCACTGTGGCATCTAAGACTAGCCGATGAAGTCCTTCGTGCAGGGTGCGAGAGTAGCCAAATGAGACATCTGTTCTTTAAGGTTCAGAATTAAGGAGGTGGTTTAGAATTATGTTTCTATGTTTAAGCTCAGACATTTTCTAAATAGCTGTTTGACAGCCTTACACAGGTCTACTTATTTCTAAGTGCATATTATAAGTGCATAGCCACGTGTATTTTGAAAGCTTTGTAGTGTCTTATGCCTTATGCAATTTGGGTCCTTATAGAAGGAATACATTTTTATAATTCAATAAGACTGCTTACTGATCTTTTACCAGAGGGTTTCCCTAAAATAGTACCCGCCTCCTTCACCCTCCACTTCTTCTCTAAAAATAAAATCACTAGCAGCTTTTCAATATACGTAAGCCAGAGTGAGAAATCACATCCTAATCACAGACTCCTTAGATGTTTGTGGGTTATTATTTATGTATTTTGTCCTCGCATAAATACTTTTGAACTCAGAAGGGTGATTATTCTTAGATGTATTAAGATATTCTAAGGTATCTCCCTTGTGTTACTGCTATTCCAAGCCTGGGAATCTGAGGGGTTCTTGAATGGACTTTTCTATAAACTGTGGAAGGTAAACTGTTATCTCTTATGAACTGTTAAAATTGGAACATCCACATGAATGTAAAAGCACAGGCCTTTGGGGATGACAAATATATATTGAGCAACACGGGATCAGAACAAATTATGCAGAAGTGGGAGAATGGATGGGGCCTATTATTGGAACACATGTCTTACACCCATTTCATCAGCGCTAGAGACAGAATATGAAGAAGGCCTTTCAGGGTGGGTTTCCCCCCTCTGAGCATTAAGCCAATCTGAATTCTCTTCAGCAGTGAAGCATTAAAGATATAGTGTTACCCTGGAAATATAAATTATTAATATATTCAGCATTTTTGTCACTTCTCAACTGTTAACCAAATTAGACAAAACTTTCTTTTGCTAAGTAGATTTTCTCTGTGGGATTAGCTTCGGGAATGCACAGGGCCACCACAGTAAACACATTGATCATTTACATACAATTTTTGCGAACTTCCACTGGCCCATGACAGTCTTTGTACCTCAAACGTTGGTATTCTTGATCCTCCTCCCTTCCCCCCCATTTAACTGTGGAGGATAAAACCCTGCTTTGGATTTTAAATGACCTCTGGATAAAAGTCTCCCTGCCGCTTTCTCTCTCTATTTGTTGTTGTATCTTTTTTTTCTGAAACCAGGTCCCCTGGCTTGGCACGGAGTCAAACTTAGGATAGTTTGACTTTGCAAAAGATGGAAAATGTCACTACAAAACGCAATGGATTCAAATCCTGTTTCCTCCTGCACTTTCTCTGACAACAGAGTACTTCCAGCCTCCCCACCCCCAGCCTGGACTCTGTCTCACACCCAATCCCCCCACTCTTTCTTTAAGTAAGTTGTATAGTAATGGTTTCTAAGAGAGGCCTGACCAAACCCAGCAATAACAAAAACTCATGGGTTTGGCTGGAGGTGATCCATTGTGAGCCTCTGAACCTCTTGTTTCTTGGGCTTCATCCTTGAGTGGGCAGGAATAAAAAGAATCATCCCCATGAAATCAAAGGTTTTCACCAGAGGCTTGAGGAACAAAGCTGAAGGCCAGTGCTCTGGGCCTGTCCCTTGGCTCCCTCCGCAGGGCTGGGATGACGATGGGCTTCCAGGAGCTCCAGCCACTGCTGCGGAAAGACAGAGCTTCCCAGAGCAATTGAACAATCAAATTGTAGCCCTGTGGACCAGCGGGGCTCCTCTGGTCTGGGCTGCTGAATGCCAGGGAAGGAAGGTGGAGGAGCTGCTAAGGTGAGGGCCTAACTGAGCCCCCAAACATAGGGAATTCCTCGGAACCTGGTCATGGGTGTCTGCTTGGGCTGACCCCTCTGGGAATAGAAGTTGATACGGGGCATATAAATGCACTGTGTGTTTGTGCAGTGCCGGGATGAGCTTTTTGGAATTGGGGATCAGATGCCCTTGTGGTTGTGGTGAGGTGCCGTTGGGTGGTTCTTAGACCCACCCGTCTGATAGAGTAGAGACCCACCCCCACACCACGCGGTGTCTGGGACCAGGTGGCTAGGTCTTTCTTCCACACAGCTGCTGGGTGGGGGGTGGGGGCGGTTTGAACTGCCAACTTTTAGGTGAGCAGCCAAGTGCACAGCCACTGTGCCCACAGGACTGACCCCTCGGTCCTGCTGTTCACTTCAGCAGAGACCAGAGAGGAAGAGCGATCTCACCTAGAAGGCTGTCAAAAGGAACAGTGGCCCTGCCCTTGTCCAGAAAGTCAACCTTGTGGCCTGACAGTTGGAGAGGATGCTCAGCCTGCTTGTTTGAGGCAGCTAACTTCTACGTTTTTAAATTTCCATAGAGCCAGCTGAGAATCATGGGGACCCCACGGGTGTCAGAGCAGAACTGTGTTCCACAAGGTTTTCTTTCAATGGCTATTTTTTGCTGAAGTAGATTGCCAAGTTTTTCTTCTGAGGTACCTCTGGGTAGACTAGAACCTCTGACCTTTTGGTTAGTAGTTGTGTGAGTCAACCATTGGTACCAACAACCCTCATGGCCATGGAGTTAATTTCAGTTCATAGTGACCCTATGGGACAGGGCAGAACTACCCCTGTGGGTTTCTGAGACTGTTACTCTTTACAGAACTAGAAAGCCTCCTCCATCTCCCCAGGGAAGCGGGTGGTACCAAACTGCTGCCTTTGTGGCTAGCGGCCTGATAAGTGAATAACCTACCACCTCCAACTCAGGATTTGGACGTAGAAATGCCCTGATGGGAGCTCTGCTCCTCTCAGAAAAGAAGAATCCAAGCAGGGCTGGGCTGCACCAGATCCCTCCACCTCTTACCAGGAGCTCACTGCAGACTGTGGATTCTGCAGCTAGGTTGCCTGGATGTGCCTTCCAGCCTCTTAGCAGTGTAACGTCAAGCAAGTTGTTAAGCCTTTTGATGTCTGTTTCAAAATCTGAAAAATATTGTTGTTGTTGTTGTTGTTGTTGTTGTTGTTAGGGACTATCAAGACATTTCCAGCTTATAGCAACCTTATGTACAAAAGAACGAAACACTGTCCAGTCCTACACCATCCTCACAATTTTACTTAGGTTTGATTGACTGAACTCAATGTTGCAGCCACTGGGTCCATCCATCTTGTCAGAGATCTTCCTCTTTCTCACTGCCCCTTGGCTTTATTTTACCTATACTCTGCTTGAAACGCTTGCTGATGATGATCAAGGATTTCAGCCTTCAGTATGGATTGCAATTCAATGCAAAGAAAAGTTATGTTTTCGCAACTGGACCAATAAGTAACACCATGATAAATGGAGAAAATATTAAAGTTGACATTGTCAAGGATTTCACCTTGTTTGGATCCACAATCAATGCTCATGGAAGCAGCAGTTGAGAGACCAAAGGACACATTGCCTTGGGTAAATTTGCTGTGCAAGACCTCTTTAGAGTGTTGAAAAGCAAGGAGGTTACTTTGAAGACC